CCATGTCCAAAGGAAAGAACTGACGGTAAATTAATATTTAAACAAAATCACTAGAGCTAAAAATAACTAATATATATTCAGATTATACAAGCTGGTCTCTTTGAACTCATATAAAACACCATGAGACAAGAAACAAAGTCTTAAATTTCGAGCCAATCCCAATTAAATCTTGTCAGTCCTAAAGCCAAATTGAAACTCTAAAGACACCAAAACCAACCTTAAAATATAGTTATTTCTCTCTGACCAATCACAAGCAGGCAAATTTAATTTGTGGCAACTCTAACCTACGAGATAGTTTGACTTGTAGCCTCACACATTCAAGAATTGACCACCAAAGTCCAACTTGACCTAGAGTCAAGTATACGAAAGATCAATAATGGGCTGATTAGAGCTGGAATTACAAGAAAAATTCTGAATTTCAAAACCTAATTTTAATCTAAAATTATAGAAAGATATAGTTTATGATAACAGAATACCACATCCACATGAACTAGAGTTTTGACAATCAAGGCTAAGACAGCGTTGAGTAGAATGGAGAAACTCCATTCACATATCCGAGACCTTTTTCTTTGATAATTATAGTATATAACCTCCCACGACAGATAAACTCGATATTTGAACAAATAACTTTCCATATTTCCTAAATGAATACCATTACCATCCAGAACTGTGAAACATCAAGAATCAGTAGAAAATAAAAACCCTAGTCCCACATGATCTAAACCCTTATTATTCAAGGTTCAAGCAGTACTCAGTAAAACGTACAAACTCCAGCCAATCTGGAATGGAAAAGAGCTCAGTTGAACAAAGAGATATTTCCCTCATGTAGCCCCCCCCCCCCAGTGGCACAGCGGTATGTCTGCGAACTTACAAAGCTAGAAACCGGGTTTCGATACCCGTGGTGGGCAGAGCACAGATAGCCCTTGTGCAGCTTTGTGCATAATTAAAAACAAACAAACAAGCCCTCATGTAATTTAGGTACTTACTTCTTAAGACTCAAACAATGTTCAATAGAATATAGCAACATCGCTTTGATTGTTAAAACTCAAACGTTTCTTACTAGAACTTAAAATTCGTGCTCCTTCATTATAAGGATTTCTGGACGTCTAGGCCGAAAGAGTAATTAGTAGAACAAAGAAAACATGCCCAATATAACTCAGATCAAGGCTTAGAGACTGCCCGGTAGAACTCAATGTTTTGTATCTGAGAAAGATATTTCCACGAAATGTAACTGTTTGCTTTACAGATTTACAATATTCAGTCCTTTAGTTATTAGTTTCCATCACTAAATGAAGTTTTTGAAATACATCTTTAAATATTTAGTACCTCTGATTCTATAATATGTTTGGTCTAATTCTATAACTTATAAAATAATTCTTAAAAGTTTACCTCTTCATCTTTTTTATATTACAATAGAAAAGATGTTCTCATCCTCGAGTTTCTACGAGGAGCCGAACGCCATCTACCCGACCGTCGAAGAACAAGTTAAGCTGTGCAGAAAGATTGCTGGTTCACTCTCCTCTGAAACCAACATGAAATCCAGAGGAGCTAACATGTTCTTTAAACGGGTAAAACGATCCCAGAAATGGGTACATGAAGGTAAGATTGTGTTCGCTTGATTACAGAACATAAGGGTTGAAAATGACACGTGCATCATAATATACCAACTGGAGGATTTTACCATCCAATTGACGAGAAACAGCTGAATGATACTGTCCTGTAATAAAATCAACCTCAAACTTATATAGTTCATTGTGTTTTATTGCCATTGCTGAAAAGGTTTATTAAGCTAAGAAACGTATGTTAATATATTTATCGTAAAACTAACTCGTGGATTAATGTGCAAACAGTCTCAAAGATGCTCCTCGGGGCCAGCGGATCTCGAAGAACTTAATGAACTGACCATATTTAGTCAGTCAACAAATTTCACTCATGCCAAATGTGCTCTTGATAAAATGTTTGATACATTGATAGAACATTTTAAATTAATATGACAACTGCTCACTAGAGATTAATAGGGTCGTTATTTTTGTAGACTGCAAACAATTTCTCTAGTTAAAGTAGCTCGGGTACCAACTGAAACTTCCGAATTTTTATAACCATGACAGGTAATTTGGGTTTAGGCTATTATTTCCGCTAGAGGTGGCTTTAGATACGATGTCAGGTGTTATGTTAAGCACAAAGCTACACAATGGGCTATCTGTGCTCTTCCCACCGCGGGTATCGAAACCCGGTTTTTAGCGTTGTAAGTCCGCAGACATATCGCTGCGCCACTAGGGGGCTGTTATGTTCTTACAAAGACATTTTCTGGTTGTGTCTGTGATTTTTTTACCTCTTCATTTTGTTTACAATATTAAATGATAATCTCAATCTAGCAGTTGGAATATAAGTAGTTCGTGTAATTTATCAAGATATGTGAAATAAAAATATTTAGTAATAACTTTTCTTTGCGCCAGAACAATATTTGTAAAATACTTGATTTGTTTAATTAATTACATTAGTAGCGCTATTGACATAAGCCAAATGATTTTTCAGACTCGGTTGTATGAACATACCTGATAAAAGTATATCAAAAATTAGAACAGCTCTAACATTCAGTAAGAAATTGAATTATCAGTAGTATGAGCAGGAATGAATCATGAAGGAACGTATCATTGCATGAGATGGACAGGTTTTCATAGGTAGTTACCTAAACAAAAAACGCCTCAAAGTTACACAAGAGATGAGGTTAAAGAGAAGCGTTCTAGATCCAGGACTTGTCAAGAGGGGTAATTAGAGGGGGGTGTTCTATGTCCAGGGTCTATGCACTGAAAATCTTATTTCTTACTATATTGTTAAAAGAAATTAATATCAGACTTGGTGTTGGTTTTCTGGATCTACCGTTCAGTAAAATTAGCTGATTCAAATAATGGCGTTCTTAATAAAATCATTTATTGTTATCATTATTTTGCAGTTACTATAATTTGAGATTGTATTATGAGTTTAGAAACTAGTCTTAAAATTTGGATTCTAATTTTGGTGTCACCTTTCAGTTATTAACGATCTATCACATTGCAGAATTCAGTGAGTATGGGTATATTTTTCAAATGTATCGTTTGAACGAATCTAAAAGCAACAACGGTAAGATAATATGTAGGTAAGGAGTTTGTGGCAGATTATGTAGAACACTGTCTTTGGATCACAGACACATTTACAGAATAATTCCAAAACAGTTTCACTATATTCAATAAATCTGTTGTGAAAGTATTAATGGTTTAGTGAAAATAATTGTAATTGATCCGACAAGTGTTATTATCAGTGAAATAACGATTACGTGATTAATTTAATTTCTTGCAATCTAGCAAAATTAAAAACAATTATTTTAGTATAAAACGAAAAGGGGATATTACTGATATACTAATATTATATTGGAGAGTTAATGACCAAGAGTAGCGACAGTGATGGTTGTCTTTTTTAAAATTGAATATTATGTAGGAATCTTAGACCGACTTTTAATCATTTATCAACAATGATGATGATTTTATGAAACACTATAAAATGCGCTCCATCTTCATTATTTAAGCTTAGTATATAATTCTGTTTGCTTAGTTGGAATAAATTGTGTGCAAAGCAAAAACAAAAACCCAAATTATTTACATTCTAACATTTTAGCAATAAACACTGGAAATCCCTTGCTGGTTTTCGCAACTAAACAGAAATAATAACCCACTTGGAGAACATTCGAAGATGTTCTGTGTTTACGTATGTAGTGGAGGTGTTCCCTCTTAAAGTGGGTCGAGTTTCCTCATACCATTTATAGCCGCTTGACGAAACCACGCATATATCCTTACCGTCTGTGGAGAAAAGAAACAGACTTGAACTGCACAACGCTGGGCTATTTCAGTTACCGGGGTATGAGTTTCACTAAAATAATTCTCTCTTATCTTTAATGGGCTTATAAATCATAAAATATATATACTATATACAGATTGGCAAAATATGTATTAATTTTCCCGCCCATACGTTTACTTTGTATTTAGGTATGCTAGTGTTCGATTTTTGAACTTGACGGGGAATTATTGCATCCTCTATTTTTCAAAAACATCGTGACATATATAAAAATGACTTTAATAAAAAATAAAATGTAGATGGCGTGAGGCGAGGAACATTCTGGCCTCTGTGTACTAACTTACTAGGCTTTTCTTGGACACATAATTACTTTGGAGCCGGGCGTAGCCTGATAGTTAGCGTAACGGACTGGAAATTGATGGGTCTTGGGTTCGAGACAAGATGCCCCTGAACAAGCTCCACACTTTCACATGTAGGCACAGTTGTAAAAATGTGAGTCAGTCAGTCCTGGTTCAGTTCAAAGAGCCGAACAAAATGCTTGTTGCGGCGAGAGAAGTTCACTGACTCCTCTCTCCCTGTGATCAAAACTAGGTACAGCTATACCTGAATCCCATGAGTCTCTTAGCTGCCTGCTTAGCCCTCGTGACAACGAGGTATCGTTGAATTTGAAAATTCCAATTCCATAAATACTTTAGTATTTTTAATTTTAATTTTTGACAGTTGCTATTAAACATTTCAAAAACTAAAAAAAGAAGACGAAGAAGAATTTCAAATGGTAACATTAAACTTTAGAATGTTAAATATTCTAAAAAAACAAACAAATTTGACTCTTTCAGTGTTGTCAACGAACGCTTAAAGGAATTTCTGGGCTAATATTATCATACTTTTTTTTTACTTATATAATGTCAACATTTAATATGTAGATGTTGATAGATGCATGATAAAATTTGGAAATAAGTTTTCAGACGAGTTTAAATGCTTAACCTTCTCTAAAATTAATCTGTAATTTTCGGTTTAGCAAATCTCATTTTCAAAGCTAAAAACATAGAGAGCCTTGACTTGTTCGAACATTCCAAGAAAACCTGCTTATAGTTCGCGCAGTGGTATCCTCAACATAATTCTGATATTTTATGAAATTAAAAAAAAGTTACCCTTCACCAACTTACTCCGGCTGACAACGTAACAGCTGTTGTCAAACGATTTCGTAATCTAGTTTTAATCATTACTATGTCTAGTGTATCCCAGTCGAACTTGAGAGCCCTAGTAGTGGCGAAAGAGCTCGTGAGAGCTGTATATAGCAGATATACTATGGTTTACGTATTATTATACATTTTTCTTTGTTTTTTTTTGGCTTAATTCAGACTTTGTTATTAATAGTTATTTATTACATTTTACTTTAAAATTCCTGTAATCATACGCATTTTTTTCACGTTTCTTCGGAATTTTACTTGAACGTGTGTCAAAATCTTAAAATTACCTCACAGCCATGTTAAAGTCAGCAAAGCCACGATACGGTGGTGTTTAGATGAACAAGCTGGCTATTATCTTACTTTCAATCTTCTTACGAGATTTACAGAAAAAGGTGGACAAAGGAAATAAGAATGAGATAAAAACGTGTAAAAGTTATATGTAACAGAATAGATTATCTTGATTTAGTAAAATAGGGAACTGCCTTTGTGAAAAAACATATTACAATGAGGTATGTTTTATTGAACTTTGGGTTTTTTTACAAGAGTAAGCATTGATGACAACTTTAATCCTAGGATATTTTAATTTAGTTTAATTATACACATTTACCTGATATTTCATTATATACAGAAATACCATGTTAAATGAAATAGTGGTAAAAAAAACTAGCCGGTGAAAAGGCTTAGTAATATTCTTGTTGTATATTGTTGTTTAAAAAAAAAAAAAGAGTTTGTTTGTTTGTTTGAATTTCGCGCAAAGCTACACGGGGGCTATCTGCGCTAGCCGTCCCTAATTTAGCAGTGTAAGACTAGGGGGAAGGCAACTAGTCATCACCACCCACCGCCAACTCTTGGGCTACTCTTTTAACAACGAATAGTGGAATTGACCGATACATTATAACGCCCCACGGCTGAACGGGCGAGCATGTTTGGTGTGTCAGGGATTCGAACCCGCCACCTGCAGATTGTGAGTCGAGCGCCCTAACCACCTGGCCATGCCGGGCCTACTTAAAGAAGAGCTAAGGTAAAAAAAAATTAATACCATTTTCCTAAAAATGTGCCGACGTTTAAATGTGAAGAACAAAATTAGCACACTTCGAATAGCAGGACAGCTGTATGGTGATCGTGTCAGTTATCAGTGTATGAAATCTTGAAAACAACCTAATTATAAAAGATACCACAGTAGTTGTAATATAAAATATAGTAAACTAGTTCTATACACGAAAATAATGATATTCATTCACAAAAAGCTGAAGTTTGAAATAAAACGTTTGGTTTGGTTTGAATTTCGCGCAAAGCTGCAAGAGAGCTATCTGCCCTAGCCGTCTCTAATTTAACAGTGATAGACTAGAGTGAAGGCAGCTAGTCAATACCACCCACCGTCAACTGTTGGGCTACAGATTACCAACGAATAGTGGGGTTGACTGTCACATAATAATGCCACCGCGGCCGAAAAGGCGAGCATGTTTGATGGGACGAGGATTCGAACCCACGACCCTCAGATTGCGAGTCGAGCATCCTAACCACCAGGCAGAATAGAATGACTCAACTTGGAAGAAGAGCACGCACATTTGTAATGTATAAAGAACAAAGTAAGTACAGCTTAACATAGCAAGAACAAACTAACTTCCTCCTTTCCACTACCAAAATAAATGAATCAAGAAAAACGACCGAAGAAGAAAGGATGCA